TTCTGAGCGCCTCTGGGGGCAAAAAGCGACGCAGAAAGTAACTAGGGCACTGTTGCTTTTTTATGGCTAATAACGAAAAGCAGCAAACCGGTAGGGAGATTTGAATTAGTCCGGATTATACACTGAGCTGGATGGCAACCAGCTTAAAGAGCAAGATACGCCGGCACACCGAGACGGCAAGCAGACAGGTGAGCGCAGGTGGCCCCGAGGGACGGCAGCGGCCCTGGGAAGGCTCACGGACGTTATAGTAGCCCCTGGGCACGATGGACACAGATGCTGTTGGAGAAAGACAGCTGAAGATGAGGTGGCCAGTGGGTTGTTTTTTTCTTAAGTGGGGAGGACAGCACGATACGGCTGTAAACTCCCCTGTCTTAACAGGGCAGGTCCATGCCGTTTGTTGCCTTGTCTTGCTGCTGTCTTTGACAGCAGGTGCTAGGGGTGTGGTGCGTATCTTTGGGTCTGGCAGAGTTTTGTACATTAATTATGTATAGGTGTGGCGATTTCGTAAATAAAATTGCTGAATAGAAGCTGCGTGGAAGAGATATGTGAAAATCCGTGAGTTATAACCTATATTAAAGGAATATTCAGCCAAAACACCAAATTGGCTTGCTGCGTGATAAATCTGTTGGGTGCTTTCAGCGTCAAGAAAACGTACTTCATTTTATAGTTCTTATTTTTCCTTTTTCAGTTTTTCCCTTTGTGTTTGGGGAGCTGCAACAGTTCCTGCTTTGTGTGGGGATGCTTTGTCAGAGAGGGCTGCGCACACGTTTGTGAAATAAAGTGTGAGCCCTGAAGAGCTCAAGTAAAAATCCGGGAATAAGATGTAACTGTCGTTTCAGAACCAGTAGGGGGAGCACCACATCCTTTTATTAAAAGGAAAAACATCATGGTTTGCAAAATTCCTGGGGATTTACATATAATCCACACATGCACACTTTGGTTGAAAGTTTGACTTATTTGAAGACTGAGAATAGACTTGGCTATTAATAGTATGGTGTGTGAGTGTTTGTCAGTTTTACTTTGCTGCAGTAACTGTTTTTTTTTAACATTCTCTTTGAAGCCAACATGTCTCGAGAGACTGGAAGTCAAGCGCAGCAGTCTCAAGGTGCCCAGCAGTCACAGGGTGGTACCAGTTCCTCTTCCAGTGGGTCACAGAGTACTAGTCAGTCTTCCTCAAGTTCTGGGACCCTCAGTTCTTTGGACACTGTTCCCACTCAGGAGCTTCCATCGATCTCCGAGGACCAGGAATCTGAAGAGCTTGTTCCTCAGCCTTGGGGTCGACTCTTTGCACTTGGAAAAGGTTTCAGCAATTGTGGTATGTGCATATTGTAATAAGCCTCATGGCTCATTTGTAGTACCTCAGAACAGATTTGAGCAGCTTGGTAGAAAGCAGTGTCTTCATTTTCAAATTGAGTACAAGCAAATTTAAGTACAAGCTTGCAACTTGTGCAATAATCTATCCCGTACTACGTCCCAGCATTTACGCTGAATACCCAGATACACAGCTTCCACCGACTTAGAGGAATTCTGGGGTATTCATGTTCTTTGTTACTTGCTTCATTTTTCCATTTCATAATTTATTTTGTTTATGTATCGTATGAGTCTCTGTATTGCTGAAAGTGAACTGAAAACTCTACTATTACTAAAAGGGTAAAATTATTAAAATATTGTACAAGGTGTTGACAGTGCATGGTGCTTTGTCTGAATTAAGACACATAAACTCGATTGTGTAGGAAGAATCTTGTCTTTGTTATCCTGCTTGCTACCACCTGGCATCATTCTGTAGTGCCATAGTTAATAACTTCCTGCAATTTTTGTGTTCTCTCTCTGCTTTACTTCCCCCTCCTCTACAGACTGCGTGAATGATGAATATTGGTTTGGAAGAGACAAAAGCTGTGATTATAGTTTTTCTAAGCTAGGATTGTCTGAGACTGGCTTCTACCAAAACTATAGCAAGAAGCATTTCCGAATTTTCAGGGTAGGTGCTAAAAAGGTTAACTGTCTTTTTCTGTTTTGGCATAACTGAAAAAGATTGACTTTGGCGGGGGCGGATCCTAAAGAAATCAAAGTTTAAGTACCTTCAGTGTTGACTCCTTTAACAAGACTCTTGGCAACGCTCCATTAACCCGCTTTATCAAATAACCTCAGTAATCTGATTTCCTGAGCCAACAATAGTAAATTTCTAGTCTGCCATGCCTTTACAGTAAAGTCATTTTTTCCCTACTGTTATCTTTCCCATTTTTTTTTCTCTTTAAGGAAATGGGTCCAAAAAATTCCTATGTTGCCTACATTGAAGACCACAGCGCAAATGGAACTTTTGTTAATAGAGAGCTCATTGGAAAAGGAAAGAGACTTCCACTGACTCACAACTCTGAAATTGCACTGTCTATACAGGCTAATAAGGGTAAAATGTACTATACCATAAATAGGTTCTTCGTGTGTTGACCAAGAGGTTGTTTCTGCATTGATTTGAGTATGTCTCTTGCAAGCTGAGCTTCTTCATGAGTGCTGTTAAAATACAGCTATGAATTGATGTTGTAGTACTCGCATAAAAACTATCCGTATCCACCTCAACCGTAGAAAAAAAACTGAAAAAAGAAAATTTAAATGAAGCTGCATCAGGAACCACCTTACTAGAGTATAAAGTTTTATAGTTGTTTTCCTATTTTTGAAACACTTTGTGCTACTGAAACACAGTAGCTGTGCATGTGGTGGTGGGAACAGGGGAAACTCTATTCAAGGAAAGTTGAAGAAAACCCAGGTACTTGCCAGATGCTGCATAAATAATTAAAAAACCCGCGTAAAATTAGCAGGGCTGGGGGGTTGTTTCTTTGTCTTTGCTTTTCCACTAAGATGCTGTCTTCCTGATTGTCACTTCTCTTTGTTCCCTACTGTGACATTGAAATTCTTGCCTATTTTGTCCTTATACGTAGTGTTAATTGATTAAGCGCTGTTGTGAAGTTAATACCAAAGATGTCATTTTTCAGTAATAAGATCACCTTGCTGACCCATAGCTGATGTCATTTATAGCATCAATTAACTTTTTAATATATTTATGTTTTTCTTCTAGCAGGCAGCACTTTCTCAGTTATGTTGTTGACTATAAAAGCTCAGGAAACATAGTTGTTTGTTATAACAAAATTTTAAAATTAATAACAGGAAAATGATCTCCACTCATCTTCCTAGTGTT